ATTCTAACATTAAAATAAACCTGATGGAATATTGATTATTATTATTATGGAGTACTGCATTGTATTTTATTCCATTCTATGCTTATAAATTAATCAATTTCTCACAATGGTAATACAAAATGAAATAGACACTATGAGAGAGTGGAAAAGTGATCTAGGTATTGTGCTAGAACTTCAAGAGTATATTCCCTGTATGTATACTCTGTATTCTATATTCACCTGTGTGTCTTATTCCTGCTGGACAACTGTTGGACAATATTCTCGCCAAGGTTCCTCTGAACATCCTCTCCTGGCTGTCGCCCTGTATAGATCATGCCATTGAATGCATAATGGACCCTTGCATCGCACATCCAAAAGATTTTGATCCCATATTTTGCTAGCTTGCTTGGCATGTATTGTAAGAACTTGCACCTTCCACGGAATGGCACAAGCTGCTCATCTATAGTGACACAATCACTGGGGACGAACACTTTCTTGCAATTGGCCAGGAAACAGTCCCACACATATCTGAATGCAGCCATGTGGTCTGTTTCCAGTCTAACAGCCCTAGTCCTCTTATCATCAAACCGTATGAGGCGGCGGATATCCTCATATCTGTGGAACCCCATGGTGGCCTTATACATCAGATTTTGCAGGGGATCCAGAAAGAAAAATCCCAGCTCTTGTCCCCCCCCCTGCAAGGAGGGTCAAACCAATAAATGCCATGAATTCCACTTTGTCGAGGCATCTCCACTCTTTTCCTTTTGCTGCTGCGGCTCTGCGTCCCTCTAAGTTAGTGCATCTTAAAACCTCCTCTATGATGTTATCACTAATGAACAACTCCCAGGCATCTTTTGGTGAAATGATTGTTGAACCAGATACGGGTCCTGGACACCTCCTCAGGATGTTATGGGTTCTTGCTCTGCCTTGAGTGGGGGGTTTCTCATTCCAGTAAGACCCCTTTGTACTTAGCCTATTGGCCTGGGTCTGAGTTTCCTCTTCAGAGGACTCATCAGACGAGTCTTCTAGCTCGTCCAAGGAGTCTTCTTCATCACCAGCAACTTCAGCTTGACCCTGTGGCACATAGTCTACGTCATCATCAGAGAGGTCAGACTCAGAGTCAGAATCAAGGATTGCTCCATCTTCCTTATCCTGTTCTTGATGTAACATCTCGATGATCATTTCAGCCGTGAAACGTGAATGAGTGTGACGAGCCATACTGTGGATGAAGAAAATCAAAATAATATTTACAACATCAGTTGATAAATTATACAGTACACTTTTCTAATTCAAGTTTTATTTTGTTGCCCTAGCTGACATTAGCTTATACCTTTATATGACTGTATTTAAATGTATTTATTTATTATTATGTATGTATTTCCAGATTGACAAATGGGTTGAAAATAGTATAGCGTATTTATTGTGTAAGACATGATTACATTTCATAGATGATCTGGCAAGAGAGTTGGCATGTATGCATTAGCTAATATTAGCGACCGGAATCTAGAATTGACCTAGCTAACACAAGCTAACATTAGCTAGCTAAAATAGAATATGCTAATGTAATGCTAGCTAGAATAGAATATGCTAATGTAATATTTCTCTTTCCCAACAGGTAAGGATAATGTTCAAATGTTATGTGCAGTTATCTTAGGTAAAACAATTGTAAAACAAGACTTACATGAATCAGATCTGAAGACGCAGCCTGTTTCCTTCTGACAAGAGTGGAATGTGAAATGTTGTCCAGTTGTTTAGTTCTGACCAGCGTCATATTCTGACAAGTGAAAAGTTGTCCACAGTAAAAATGTTCCTAACTGCACACATTTTATGAATCAAAGGTTCCTATCAAATTCACACTTGCACGGGTCATTTCTGACCCATGTGTGGAAACTTGATGTAGTGATACAAAACCTATTTTAGTTCCAAAATATAGACAGAGAAAATGAAAAAAAAATGATTTATGGTCATCAAAAACAAGATATTTAATGAATACTTTGCAATATTAAATGATGAAATGAATAGATTTTAAAAGATATAGCAACGAAACACAGCCATGCATGAAATAACATAGGAAATGAATGCGGGTCATTTTCGACCCATGTGTGTACATTTGATGTAGTAATATAAAAACTATGTTAGTTCCAAAATGTAGACAGAGAAAATTAAAATAATGATTTATGATAATCAAAAACAAGATATGTAAGAAATACTTTGTAATATTAAATGGTTAAATACATAGATTTGAAAAGATAGAGCAAAGAAACACAGCCATGCATGAAATAATATAGGAAATGAATGCGGGTCATTTTTGACCCATGTTGTGTTTTAGAGGGGTAGTCGTACAAAAATGATTTTTATTAAAAAAGTAAAAATGAAAATAAGAATTTATGATGATCAAAAACAAGTTACTTGAGGAATTCCTGGAATTCTGAATGGTGAAATGAATTTATTGCAAAGATATTTACAATTAAAACCCTGTCGGGTCACTTTTGACCCATGTTGTGTATCAAAGGGTTAAAAAAGGAAGGTGGAAATGAACATAAACACATTTTAAAGTTGTTTACAGTACGTTATAGAGTTTTTGTCCGGCTGGTTGATGCTCTTTTTATTTATTACAATGACTGTGCTTTTCTGACTGAACTTCTTCTTCTCTTTGTACATTTTGTTTCTTAGTTGTACATAAAGAAGGTTTTGTCCTCTTCCTTGTCAGTTCCACTATCCACATGTTGATAACCTGCCGTTTATGGAAGACCATTAAGAAGTATTCATTAAGTCCTGAGGTAAGGAATGCAAAATCACGCAGCACAGACTAAAATCAATCATGTCATTTGAGGCATTCCAATCAAATACATGTTTTTCTCCCTTATAGGATGCAAAGTCTCACTATTGGAAAGTGCGCTTCTTACTTCTCAACTTATCCTTCTGTGCTTTTGCCGGATTCTTTTTTTGGAAACACAACGTGTTCTGCGAATCAGGGAGTAAGTACTACTTCAGTTTGATAATGTCCATCTAATTGGGGAGGGTTGATAACAGTGATCCATGGAGAATAGAATACACACAATTCCAAAACATATCAGTTATATGAACAGTAATGTAAAATGAAGCTAGAAAGTGTGTTTTACTTAAACATTTCTACATCTACATTATTTTTGTTTTCCTTTTCTTTTTTACAGGTTACACATTATTCGCCCTGTTTGAGTATCTAGTGGTCTTCTCCAATATGGCCTTCCATCTCACAGCAGTTTGGGACTTTAAGAGCCGGGAGGTCATGGTCATATCATCTTCAGAAGATAAAGACTTCTGAATAAACTCAAGGACTGAGTGCAACCACACAACCACCTGATGTGAACAGCCTTAATCCTGCCCCAGGGGAAGAGTGGGATGAAGGCCTTTTCCATATATTTCCATTATGTACTTTTGTCAATTGAGTGAACTATAAGTGAATTTTCTGCCTCAGTGTCTCATCATTCGATGCCTTGACTCACATGCAGTGACAAATACAGTACACTATTCCATGTTATGTGACATTTGAATATGTGTACACTGCAAATACAAAGTTGTCATACTGTACATGTGTTGAAATTAAGTGACAGTCCTTCAAGTACGTTTGGCCTTCTATTTGAAATACAAAAAAGGGGTAAATATCTATTAATTATTAAGTAAAGAGTGACATGGTGGAAAGCAAAGTCTCCTTGTGGTCTTTCCTTTAAGTCTCAAATAGGGTCAACACACAAAAACAATGGTTTCTGACACTATTTCACACCATACACCAAAAAAATTGAGTGCCACTTCAGATAGAGTTGTACAATATCTGCACTTGCAACAACAATATAATTGTTAGCACTTGAACTTTATGCAAAGTTTCACAAGTGTGACATTTTCTGTACCACATGTGACCTTCATGGCCTGTTGTAAATCTGCGCAAGATATTATGATCACACATCAGTTACCTAACTGACACCCAAAAGTTCATGCAGCTGGATAGACCCAGCAGCAAGCACACATTTCTGCAATTGTTTTAGATAGTTCTAAAAGCGCCTTACATATACTTGTGTTATTTTATGTAACACTTTGCCATGTAAGAAGTTAGAGGTAAGTGTCATTTAAATATGTTGTTTGGATATAAGGGGATGATATACACCATAACATTTGAATGCTCAGAAGCCTCTTGCCATCCTCCTCCCTAAACCCAGAACCTGATGATGCAAGTACTGGCCAAGCACTAAAAAGACATTTCATTGTGTTTGCAATACGTTGTGTCATAATATTTACTGTACAGCAAAAACTGGAAAACTGTAATGTTACTTTCTTAAGGTTCCAACCCATAGTGTACATCATGTATGTAGGCTGTTTTTCCAAATAAAAGGTGCATACAAATGTAAAGGCTAAGATGGCCGACATAGTTCCATTATTAATAGCAATAGTTTTCTGATATCAATATATAACAATATTTCAAATATGCAAATAATGAAGCAATCACATGTAAAGCATACAATTAAAATCAATGTCATTGCCTTTAGACAAAGGCTCTTCAAATCATTCTATCAAAACCTTCAATAACCAAGTTATTTTTTCTTTGTAATGTATTTATCAAAGCAGTTCAATTTATAAAATAATATGAACACAGCAAGAACACAGCAAAACCTTTGATTCAATTTAAAAATCAGGTGTTACCAATAACATTAGCGATGGTTATGTTTTATTCAAGGCTCAAGTAAGCGATAGGAGTGCTGTCACACTGTTGTCATCCAACTTCTGACATGTTAATATGTCTTCTGTGAACTAGCTATTAATCCACAGTCATAATGACAGGTATACATGCTACATACTGTAGATTAGAAGGAAGGTTGAACATGTGAGTGTAAACATGTTCTTTAACATATCATTGTAGGCCAGGGGTGTTGGCTCAAACAATCCACGAGATGGCACACTTTAGCAATTTGTTTAAGTCAATTGGACGTGATATCCAGTAGGCCTACACCCTCCAGCCTTTAGGGGGCGACACTTGCTGTTGATAACCACGCACCCTGTGGCGTAGAGTAAGAGTAGCCCGCTGCCTTGCCACATTCTGCGGCTTTTTCGGTCCAGTACGGTCGGGGGAAAGACCAGACCGAAATCTCTCCTACGTTGGGAGTTCGCAGTGCTTCAACTAGGGTGACCAGGCGTCTGCTGCGATGTTAACACAGAGCTGAAGCTACAGATCTGCTGGCTCTGATACATGACAGGTAACTTTGTGTTATGTTATTCAGCATTACGGTGTGTCCGTAGTTATCATATAGTCTAGCTAAAACTAACATTACAGATGCTCTCTATTAACGACCCTGTTCTGACTTGTGTCTGCTCGTTAGCTTAACGCCGACTGCGGCTAATGTTCGTCCGTTGAAAATGCAGAGTCGACACCAACCAGAAGTGAAAAACACGGAAGGGTTTTGAGAGGGCTGTGTAGTGCTACTCCTTCTTTGTTGGATATTATTACACATGTCCTACTTAACCGAGATGTTAAGCTAGCTAGTTATGGAATGCCATTTGACACATAGTAAAAAAAAAAAAGCCTATGAAATGAATTATTATGGCTTTTTAATAAATCATGAACAAATGGTTGTATTTAATGAAGAACACACATTTTAGGGAGTATTATTGAACAATGACATGTATTTAACATTATGTCACTGGACTTTAATTGTATAATGCCACATTTATTTATGTTCTGGGACCTTTATTTTATAATTCCCCTTTTTTTTTTAAAAAGGGACTTTTATTGCACAATGCCGTATTAATTAGATTCAGTTCACATTTGTTTTCTAATTTCACATGTATTTATTTCAGGGGACTTCATTTCAGAATTCCAAATGTGTTTTGTTGTGTACAATCCCACATTTCGTTTTTTTCAGGGATCTTGTGTTTCATAATAACACAGGTATTTATTTATTTAAGGTAACTTCATTTTAGAACTACACTTGTAATGTGTTTATTACAAGAGACTTGTATTTGATGTCACATTGATTTATGTAAGGGGCACTTTTATTTCAGTGTAATATTAACTTAGTTCTTTATTTTAGGGAACCTTTTTAGTTGTTATCATTCCACATTTATTGACATAGCAACCTGACAGGCAGGGTGCTATGTTGGGATTAGTTGCTGCTTCTTTAGTTTAGCCAAGTTGCTGTTCAACCCTATGACTTAGACATGCTTGTTTGTTCAAGTGTTCCTGTACGCCCTAGGTAGAATACTAGATCTAGATGTCTCTCATTCGTACGCTGCCAAAAACCAGTCACGCTCAGAACCTGCTGCGAAGTGGCTGGAGATCTCAATGCCCAAACACCAAACCAACATCAAAGAACTAGTGGTTTAAGAAGCCAAATTGCATGTATGTTCTGCTTCTTTACATGGAAAAAATACAAAGTAACGTTTACCTTTCACTTCACTCTCGCTTACCACTACGCTTTATTTCAGAGGGCCATGCCTAGCTAAAATATCCAAGTCTTGGAATAATCAGATGAGAGGAAGTAAACAAATATAAGCGAGTCTTTGTATGCCCTCTTGACTTTTCCTTGTTTTCTTCCCTTCTGTTTCTCTTGTGCTCTCAATTGCTTATCAGAGTCATTTTCATTACATCGCAAAAACTAAGGCGCCAGGCTCTTTCCAACAGCCCGGCTGACAGTTGACTTGATGTGTCAGGGCCAGTCTTGTAGACAAGATGCTATGATATTCCTGTTGGGGGATGGTTTTATCTAAAGTTACAGTATGGAACATGTAACTCGTAATGGAAGTCAAGTAACATTTGTTATGCTTCTGATGCTTGTCTTCGGTGCCACTGGGTCCGTTTTCGGGAAGTCTGTCGGCAGGGACCAACAGAACAGGGAGGACTGTCCCCGCAGTTGTGTCTACAAAGCCAGTTTCTTTAGAGAGAGATCCCTACCCTGCTGTAACCTACGGGAACAAGACTCGAACTGCGGTTTCCGACTTGCTCTGCTCCCTGCAAGTCTGGTTCATAACAGATGGCAACCGAGCTTTGGCATGGAGTTGATACGCTCCTTTGATTGGTTGTTGTGCTCTGGGACAACTGATGACTTGACAACAAATTACCAAACAACCATTGATCTGAGTATGTGGATAACTGGGAAATACATGTGGAATTATGAAATAAAGGTTCACTGAAATAATGAAATGTGGCATCAGGCTTTTCTATAGGCTTGTTTATTTATAATTGTATAAAATAGCATTTCATAGCTTGTTGAAGCTTGTCAGACATCTGCACACCAGACTCACACAGACCAGGCTGCAGTTCTGATAATCTTATTATTCTCCCTGAGGCAACATGTGTTTTAAAACATGATGCCAAGAACTCTGAAGCACAGCTAAACCGTCAAAATAGGGCTTAACAAGCTGACTTAGCAAAAGCCAGGTATTAGATAACTTGCAAACGACTGTGTACCTTAATTTATTTAGCAAGAATAGAAAACAGTGACACTGAGAAGTGATGGCATGTTTCCGCTTTTGCTGCAGGGGACATTTTTGTAATGCTAACTAACAATATTTCACGGTGTGCTCTAAACAAGCCAACTTAATGCGTTTTTCTCTCCTTTTCACATGTTCTAAGTAAGAGACGAAGCAGTTTCTGTTCTAGGCAATGTTTAATTGATGTACCTGGATAGAAACCCGGCAAAATTGTGTTGCAGGAATGATCTGAATTGTGAATGGACTCTGTTGTCTACTTTCCAGCACACACCAGTCATGGAGTTCAACAAATTGAAGACATTGTGGATATTGTGCTTGTGTCTCGTTGGAAAAAGTTGGACTGAAAGATCTACATCAGACAATCATATTGTTGAAAATGGCGTGTCGGGTAAGTGATCAATCATGGTATTCATTTGTTGTAGCTTTTAATTCGTCTATTTCTTCCAACTGTTGATGACACACAATCGGGTGTATAAGTGTTAATGCCACGTCTTTGTGATTATGCAGGCCCTAAAAGTAGACATGTTGAGAATAGTCTGGCAACATTTACACAGTTAGGCCTAACTGGTCTAATGGATAGTTGACATTAGAGCAGGGTTTTAGGTTGTTTCAGAATCAGATGGTACTAATCCATTATTATTTCCAATACTTTACAATCAAAATATTGTTTGTGCCACCCTTAAACTTTCTAATTTCCTATGCTTGTATTGCAACTTAGTTTTCAACATCAAAAATGACCTCCCGGTATTTAGGTGTAGAGTATGTTATGGACAAGGATTCCTTTTACAGTGTGTTAGCTGACATGGATATATGTAAGAGATTAGTGTAATCCTCTCACAGCATCCTCCCGCAGTGAAATACTGCATTACATTATAAAGCATTCATTTTTTTTATATAATAAATTGATCAACATGTTTGGTGAATGTAACAACCTCCCCTCGTAAAAGAAAAATGATCGATGGTCTCCTATCACTGACAATCTCTTGCCTCAAACCATGAAGTGATTCTAAATCAATGGTGACAGTGATTGCATCTGTCGATCCATATCTTGAGTCTGAGTCTGCTAGAAATAAGTATTAGCCGCTAAAGACACACCATGACTCAGGGTTTTTGGAAATGTGCTAGTGTAATTATCATTGTCTACTCCCAAAAGGCATGACAGTTGTTCAGGATTATGTTTTTTTCCTACTAATTTTAAGCAGGAGAGGCAAATATCCACACATGCAACCCTAGCTCTGTTAAGATATTATATTAGTACTTCTAAACAATTAAACAGCAACTATTGAGACATTGTTAAAGTTACATTGTTCTTACTTATGTGTGTCACATGTCCCATGAGGCCCCTCTGAGGAGAAGCTGTATTATTGACTGATTTTCAAAGCATGACAGTGTTTCTGAATGGCTTAGAGCCTATTACCTGCGGTACTTTTGAAGTAGCAAAGTTTGGAGAGTGCAGGCACACAGAATGAGTTGCGTAACTTGAGCTCTTAAAAAAGGCCGGCTGACTGGTATGTAAATATCTTATCTTGCGTCTCCAGAGGTTTGCAAGCCAAATGAGAAAGAAGGCCAGGTTGGGTGTATGAGAGTGTTGCAGGTGGTAGGTTTTCACTAAGCTAACTGTCACTCTTTGTTTAACATGGTGAGTGTGAATGAGGGATAATGCAGAAGAGTAATTGCCTTTTTGGTATGTGCCTTTGCAGGTTCTCTCAAACTGAATGCTTGCTTACTTTGGCTTAAAAATTAACCTTTTGCTACGCTGAGGTGCAGTATGTGCGATTGTGTGTCAAGCCGTCCTTGTTCATCTAGCAGAAATATAAGTCTCTATTTGCCAATCAAAAACCCTTAAATAGACGCTTTTATGGACACTGTACCGTTGCAGGGATTAATCTCTGACAATGTTTAGCCTACTTTCTGTTTTGTCTCTAACTGCAGAGCCAGCCTGTCATAACAGATGGTTCTGGGAATTAAAAAAACATGGGTGGGTAATGATAAGGGGATTCTTGGGAGGGGGGCATTACGCTGTAAATGCCAGCCTGATGCAAACCAAACGCCTGCATTGGATACACTATTGTGTTGGTGACATTAATGAATGATAAAGCAGTATCAATTGATATATGGACTTGAGCTCGGCCATGTATAAAAGGGGAAGTGAGTTTGATTATGCAAACTGTTACACCCTATTGTTGTCAGAATGATGATTCTATAAATGACTTTCATCCAAGTGTTTATCCAAATAATGCCCCTACCCTGCAAACCAGAATAAACTACAAGAATCAAGCATTTTATTCATAGGACTGTAATGATATTATTAGAAAAGTTCAGTTTTAAATGGTTTATAGAGGTACATTGTTGTTGGTACAAAACCAATCCCAGGAAATGCAAGCCACTCATTCATGTTGGTGAACAAGGCAGCTTCCCCCTTAACCCTCATGGCCTCTTCCTCTTTTTGTGGTTGTAATGCAATGAAATACTAAATAAAGCATACTGTTTGGACATATGCTTCTCCCTTAACTTAATTTAACCAGGAAAAGACCTCTCTGAGATTGCTAATCACAAATTAACTGGAGTGTCCAGGATCAGATAGCAGCAGAAGCAGCACATAGAGGTTATATAAGACTCACGTTGAGCTCCATAATATATATATATATACATGTCTGAAGGTTTCAGGGGCAGGATTCTTCTGAATTCACTTAAACCATGGATTACATTTAAATGAAATGTACTGCAGGCACTTTCACACAGATCCTGAATCTCTGCAGAACAGGCCAAACAAGGTTTCCTCTCAGGGAGCGGTGGCGTTATCTTTGATCTAGCGCAGAGGATCTCTAATCCCTCAGGAAGCAGAGGGCTGATGAGCTTCACTAGATACTTTTCAGATGGCTAAATATCATGATATGTAGCCATTGATATATGCATTTCTAATTTATTTACAAATGATTGTGGAGCCCTTCACACTGAAAACCTAACAAGTTACAGAGGCCTGACCGTCAAAAAGACAATTGAAAGTAAACAAATGTTAACAACCAAAACATAATTTTGACCAAACTTTAAAGTCTAAACTGTGAAAAATGTAGAGCACACAATTATCAAAAGCTGCTTTGCCTTAGGACGAGGCCAGTTTTTGGTCTGACAGTCATGCTGTCGAGCTTCTTGGTTAGTTCAAGGTTCTTTATTGTCAAACTAACATAGCTACAGAGTAATTATGTCGTTGAAAATCTTAGGTCACAGGCTTCTCCAACAATGCAACACAATAATAGAGTGGCGAAGTCACCCCCATCTACTTCCGGGCCATGGGACCTTATTTCGGAAAAATTATGTATTGAAGTCAATGGAGAGAAAAAACGTATCTTTCGATCCCGTTTGAATTGTGCCACGAATTACACATATGATGTTTGTCAATCTTAAAAAATCATTTCCACGTCAAAAAAGTTACAGTTTGTCGTAAAACTATTGAAATATAAGAATGAAAAATACGCAACTAGAAAGACTACAAATCCCGGTCCGCATGCTGGCTCTTACGGAACCGACTAACTCCCCTTGTGTGTATGTACAGCTCTCAACATGCCCAGACTTGTGGTGATTTTCATTAAAACAATATTAAAGTATATTTACATATAGGGGGTTACATCCCCTCATTGAGTTTTAGGCTTTACATAAATAATTCTTTGTCTTGAAGGAATTTTAAAGTTGGTTATATTTGCGAGAGAGAAAGGAGGAGTGAGGTCTTCTGAAAAACACAAAAGGTTCAAAGTCATGAACTTTTTTCGCCATCATAGGATTATTTTAATTCAAGAGCTATCGTAGGTATGATGTTAAATCAGTACTTGAATAAATTATTATTTAACTATTCAAATTGTATCTTTTTGTATTGGTCTGTCTTGATCTGCCTGGTTGTTTCTATTTATTTTTTTAAAAACTTGTTATTGTATAATCTTGACATTGCTAATATAGCAGTTTTCTGAAAGATCACAGAGCAGCTGGAAGGATCATGTCTGGGATTTAATTCCTACCTACTTTGAAAAGTATTATTTTACACTTTGGGGGCTGTTCTGTGTGTAACTATATTCAGGGGTGCACATAATTTTGAGTGAGTTACTCAGATGAGTACCAGGAGACAGCGTTTGGTACTCACCCCACACGAAGCGTGGTCCTCCTCAGTGTCTCCTTCACTGTCCTCTATTTACACTTCTTGCATGCTAGATGATGAAGATGATGAAGATGCACCTCCTGTCTCTTTTTAAGCCTCCGATTTGCTTTCTCCAAAACTTGTTGCCAAAACTGTGAAGTCCTTGCATTTCCTGAGGCTGCGTTGAAGGATCAAATACTAAGAAATGATCACATGACTTGAAGTCATATCTGATTTCAGATGTGGGAAGTTACGAAGTACACTTCTTCAAGTACTGTACTTATATGATATTTGTACTTTACTTTACTTTGATCTAATTTGTAAAATTAGCAGCACCTTTACCAGCTTTGAGAACAGTTTAATGATCAATCATTATAAAACATATCATATATATTATTCTGAAATGGACCAATCTGCACAATGACTACTTTTACTTTAGGTACTTTAACTATATTTTGATGATAATACTTTTCTAATTTTACTTGAGTAAAAGTAGAAGTACCAGAGTGTTACTCTGTTGCAATAAAAGTCCTGCATTCAAAATGTTACACAAGTACAATATCTGAGTACTTCTTCCACCTCTGTCTGATTTCAAACTCTTCCATAACACCCTGAGGAAGTTTGCAGCTGTGTGTTTCACTGCACTCTGTTGTAAATAAAGCTGCAGCAGCTTGACTACAGAGCATGAACGTTGTGATCAGCTGATTTTGCGCAGTTCTCCAGTGTGTGCGTGGGGCACAGAGTGTGCTCAGGGGAGTCTCCCACTGCAGCCAGTTGGCGGAGTTTTGGCACAATTCCGTTGTTCATACCGACGTTAACCCTGTCTGTGCACACGGTGACCAACTCTGTTGTCCAGTGATCTAAGCCTCTGCCTCCTGTAACCTTCACAGGTCCGTCGGTTATGTCCTGCGCGGCTCGGCCAGCTCCAGTTCAATCAGTCATAGAAAGGCCGGAGAGTTTTTGCAGGGAGCGAAACGGCAACGTAGCTGCTTAATGTCTGTTTTTTTTTTTACATGTCTCGTAGTTTACTCCATTGAGTGTTGACAAGAAACACGTGTAGACGAAATATGTGTTTTTGTTTTGATGTTTTGAGGTACGCAAAGGCGCGTAGTGACACAAGTGATGTTACGCAATTCAGATTTTTGCCGCGCATGCGTACCAGTTATGTGCACCCCTGACTATATTGGTTGTTTTGGACACTCCTTATGATGGAGTTAGAACAACAGAGAAATTGCCTACAAAAAATCTCACAGATTTAGGATTATGTCAAACATTGAATGAAGGTAACAAAAATAAACCAAAATGATCTGTTAATACCTATTGTAAAAAGAGATGTTTAATTATCTTGAGCAGACCATATGTTTTCTAATCTTCATTTTGTTGTTGTGGTAGTACCCAGTTAACACTATCTTCATATGACTTTGATTCTCCAATAGATTTTTGTCGCATCGATGAGAAGCTTTGCAACGCTGAGAATGAAGTTCTCAGCTACGAGGCCATCCGTAGTATTCACAAGCAGATGGATGATGACGCAAACGGCAATGTAGACGTGTCCGAGACAGACGGCGTAAGTATCAACCTCAGAATTCATCTTCAACAGGAGCTGATGCTCTGTTGAAGGGGGCACTCTGGTTTGTAAAGTCACAGAGGTGGTCTTCCTTCAGGTCCAAGAGGCTTACAGGTATCATTACTGTAATCCTCTGTAAACTGATCATCGGATTGGCTGCTAACATGGTCAGTTAATCATACCCCTGTAATGTTCTTCACTTACACTGAGTAACAAGAGGATTTGTTCTGTTTCCGCTCCAGTGCCCTTTTTACTGAAGTGTTTGTCAATAATTAACCTGATTCACTGGCGTACATGCTGCCACATTAGTACATACACATGGTAACACAGAAGGTTAGTGTACCTTTCATCAGACTGTAGTTTGTAGATAGAAATGCATGACAAATAGTGTTAGCTACTTTTCTCTTAAGTACAGTGAAGCATAATGAAAGCACAGTATAGAGAGTAGCAGGCGCTCACAGCTGGATAATGATCATCGGAAGTTAGGTCTGTTGCTTATCAGGCAACACTGCGCCGTAAAGACACTGCCTGTCATCCATTAAGCTTACATCCTGGGCTCTTGTCTAAACTACATGTTGCGTGTGATTTTCAGGAGACCTCTTCTGGAGCCTCACTTAATTTTAGTTCAGTCTGTTGCTGTAGAGGCCACACCTCTAAGAAGAGGCACTGAGCATAAAAAACAGGCAAGAAATCAAGTACTACTCAGGACTCAACATTATAAATGGCCCGGAAGCACTATTTAGACACCCCGGGCCAGCATAACGTACTTTCCACTTGCTCGCTCGGCCACTGAAAATATTGCTTTAAAAAAAGGAATTGTCCCGTGGTATTGGTATTTTGACTAGCAATTTTGTTAAATTGTTTCGTTTATTAACGCGACAACATAGCGTTTCGTGAGGCGGTTGCCGTTGTTGGGTGAAAAGCAGACGGCTGTTTGCTGCGGAGTAGAGCGCAGCGAGAGTAGGTTCCCGTGCGCGGGAGCGCGCTCCTTCCCTACAGACTTTAGAGCCACCTAACCATTCGCCAAAATGTTTTTAATAGCAGCGGTAACCGGCCAAGCGCCGGGCTAAAAACAATCTTTAAAAAAAAATAATGTCAGCGGAGGAGTTAAAGGAGAGTGACATGAGAAGAAGAAGAAGAGGGAGAGAAAGTTTCAGCCATACTGGCTTGATGGATGGAGTTGGCTTCAATATGATGTCAACATAAACAAGGTCTTTTGTCGGCTCTGTACATCAATGCCGACCTATGCTGACAAGTAAGTGACGAGTAGAAAAAATATAAAGGTAAATTGGCTATAGGGAAATGTCCTAGCAGTTTAGGATAATGAAGGTTCTGATCTAGGCTATTACGTAGCCATTACATTTCTAACTCCTAATGACAGGAAGGCAGAAAGTGCATTATACAAATAATAATACTCATAATAATGATAATAGCAGACCTTTTTTAACAAGGACCACAATATAATTATTTTAATAAACCAAATATGAACAATTGAGGAAAATGAGGAAGAACTGATGATTAAAATGTTGTAGTACAAGTAGTAATGTAATTTGTGCATAAATTACATTACTACTTGTACTACAATTTGTGCATAAATTACTATTGCAACAAATGTGTTCATTTTCTTCATTATTAGTCTATTTTTTGGACAAATGCTCTTGGGCCAGTGGAATTGTACCCTTAATGTCTACCCCTGTCTGTACAGTGAGCACGCACATCTGTAGTGGCTCAGAGCCAGGAAATAGAAAGCTTAAAACGATTAAGAGCACTTAAAGATAATAATCCGACTTCCTGTTATCATACAGTAAATAAATAGAGGATAGCTGAATTCTTCATGACACAGTTCAAAGTCTGCATCTGTCTTTAAAGAATAAGCTATAGGCCTTAGCCACAATGATGCACATTTTAGCACGAAGACAATACTTTGAGGAGCGTGATACTTCACCTGCAGTACAGACTATCTCTATACACTGTAGTGAAATCCTCCCACACAGATATAGCAAGAAAGAAAGGCATCATGACTTATTACTGGTTTCCACCCATGCTGCATGAGTTGGCTTTTGTAGGAGTGCAAGATGTTACGTTTGTGACTGAGTAAGCCTACGATATAGTGGGCAACCACCTGTGTAGTTCCATATCTTGTAGTGGACCACTACCATTCGTGCCCTAAATGTGGGTTTTGGTGCCATGGTGTCAACATGCCATTTTAAAACAGAGATACAAAAAGAAATCCAGAGACCTCTGTTGTTCAGGTTTAGGAGATTAAAACCAATTATTTTCATGTAGATTATCACCAGTTCTAAATGGTTCAAAATCAATACATAATAATTGTGTACTTTAAAAAAAAAATGATACATTTAGACATAATGATTGCAGAATTGCTCAAACTTCAAAGACTCGATACTTTCACTGTATTCTCTCTAACCATTACAAACATCCTTGTCATTCTACAGTTCCTGAGAGAAGATCTTAACTACCATGACCCCAAGGCCAAGCACAACACCTTCCATGGTGACGACCAGTTCATCAGTGTGGAGGACTTGTGGAAGGCCTGGAAGGGCTCTGAAGGTATTGCTTTGATACATGTTCCTACTAAAACCAGCAGTGACTGCAAACAAAGGCCAATCTCTCCGTTTGTGTTGTGCTTGTTTGAGTTTAAAGACTGTAAACTTTGTTTCTGCAAACTGTGTACCGCATTGACACGCTCTGCTAACACTTACTGTTTATTGAAACACTCCTTGTGACTTTGAGTGTCTGTTAGTAGCTTGTAAATTAGAGTTAGTTTTTTCTTCTGACTGAAAGGGTGGGTCTCACATTCCCCTGCTTGACACTCACTTGCCCAACAGTCAATCAGATGTCATGTCAAGCAAAGTGCAGTCTAGTTATCAGCACCAGCAAGTGTGTCACTCTTATTGACTCTTGTCAGCATGACAAATTCACATGTTCACTATCACCTCCTTCTGCCTATCTGTTTGACTGGGCTATCGTGTACTCTTAGAGAGCACTTTTCATGTGCCGTATCTGGCACTTATGTCTATTCACACCCTTTGCTCTGGCTGCCTTTCCCCCCTTTTTTGCTCATAGCACTGAATTATCCTGCAATGCAGTTTTTTGACAAGGCTCTGGAGATTTGGAGCCAGGAAACTGGGTTTTTGTCCAAGAAAATAAGACTAACACAGACAGCCCAAACTGTTGTCTCTGCTGGGTATCACTATGGGCAGGTCACTGTATGCTACGCTACAGGATACATCATAGATCATTCCGGATACAGCTGTCCATGTTTGTTTGATATGTCTCATGTGTCAAGTTGTATTTACAGTGCTGTTTGATAGTGTTATGGTAGTTGCATATGTTGGCTGTGTTCACTGGGTTTAAATCAAACAATATCCACCAGGTCAGTGCTGACTCTTGATATTCATTACAGAGCAGCAGTGTAGGTAGAAAGGGGGCATTAAGGGACAGCCATTATTGGACAAGTTAGCACAACCTTTGCTACAGTCGGTATCTACTATGTGATGCTCTGCTGGGCCTGTACTGCAGTCATCTTTATTGCTGGGTCATTTTTTCGTAGCATCTTTACCGTAAGCCTGTTTTTGAAATAAGCAAAACACATGATCATTTGGAATGAGTTTTAAAGATGCTGTGTAGGGTCACTGTTCTCAAATGAGGCGTTACAAAGCTAAAAGTCTTTTAAGTACATTGTCCGTTCAATAAGAAGACCCTCAAACATCATATGATACAAGTCAGCTTTGTATCACATAGCCAATGTTTTATTCATTTGAAAGAGAGCAACAATAAAGAACATATTAGTTGTACTTCCTAACTGTACCTGCACCTTAGAGCCTTATCAATACTGGACGTCTGCAGGAATTGGATGAATAAGTATCTGTGGGCACTATAACTAAATGTCTTTTTATTTTTCCCCACAGTGTATAATTGGACATTGGATGAGGTGGTGGAATGGCTCATCACTTATGTGGAACTGCCACAATATGTCGAGGCCTTTCGCAAGATGAATTTTAATGGAAGCGTCATGCCAAGGTAACATATGTCAAGGCTTTTCTAACTTCTCCAAAGTGAAATGTACCACACATAAGTTGTGGTTATATCAAACTGTTAAACTCACAAATGTTTTAGAACATTAATTAGATTTCCCGCAGCTAGTGTATCGAGTGACCGTTTTTGTGATTTGAATCTGAATGATAGATAATAAAGATTTGTTAAGCGGTCATGTTACACATGGCTCAGAATGGATTACACCCTTTGCTCTTCCTTCCTTGTTCCTGCATAATGACTTTGTGCGTCTGTTCTCTCTCAGGCTGGCTGTTAAGAACACCTCCCTGACGCTCTCTATTCTGAAGATCCTGGATCGCAGCCACGTGCAAAAGTTGCAGCTCAAATCTTTGGACACCGTGCTGTTTGGAGCACCCCTGAGTATGTGACGTTATTCCTTTTTGTTAATGTTGCAGCTCCTATTCATACACACTCATACACCCAATCATACAACATGAGTTGGTTGGTACTTCACACCCCTAAGCAGAGTTGAGAGGAAAGTTCAGTTCTTGTTACCTCTTCTATAGAAAAGCAGGAAAACTCAAAACAGTCAGCAAAATTCTTTAAAACATAGTGGGAAGATTTAAAATTCAAAGCTTACCTGGATACACATTTCTTTTTTTTGTGCATATTTTAGTTTTCAGTTATTATTTTTGTGTAGATATTGATCCAGATGCAGATAAAAAAATGTATAAAAACATGTTTGGGATCCGACATCCTGGACATTTATGTACTTCTAGAATGCCTCATTATTTCTAAATAAGGCTTTCATACTATGTCAATATGTTGGAGCCGGTTTCGTCACAGAAAACTGGTTATCAGAGAGCTAGAAATCATCATCTTCAACTTTCAAGTCAACACTTGTTCATACGTGTCACTCCCTCATGGGAAAACATGACTTGATTCTCTTGCATTGGAAGACTATTACTGTGAGACATCACTAGGAAGATTTGAGTTTCAACAGCAAACCACCATTTCCTATATCCTGACCACAGTTTTTTACTGACTCATTTTTAATCAGCACCTTGTCCTGTAATATGCGAGTCACTCAATCATCTACTCACTGATTTACTGACTTCAGTCGGCCCAACTTTGATATGTTGGGGTAGTCCTGTCACCACCTGTATCGGTTTAAGGCAGTGAGGAAGTGAGACGTAGTTAGACGGTTAGACCCCACTTGATACGCTTTTCACGGCGCACTAAGATTAACATGCTCACATCATCTCCTCTCTTTCTCCAGTTATACTGCTCCATATATGTAACTACTATTGTTTTCTTCTCTTAAGGGTTTCATTGTCTCACAATGGATAGGGTGTGTCTCTTCTTTCATTCCTCTTGGCAGCACATTATATTATTTTTTACGAAATCTGTGTTAACATATTGTTCCCAGAACGTCTGACCAACTCCTTTTTGATTTCTAGAAAAACAGGGTTGGTTCCTTCAAGCTTAGTTACAGCCTGGCAGCTGAAACATTTGCAATACTAAGCTGAAAAAAATATGGATTTTTCGAGTTTACACACATATTTATGTCGTGCAGGGACTCCCTGCTGAAGAGAATTGATTCTGAGGGGCAGATATGTGTGATCATCATAGGAAATGTAATGAACCTTCAAAGAAAGGAGTCTTCTTCATCAGAAAGAGATTGCACAGGGCGACAGTGTGTAGTCGTCTGTGTCTGGCATGTGTCATTGTGAATGTGTTTTGCTAGAATCACACCCGAAGGAAGACATTTGTGAGCACTGTCTGGCTTTGACAGCCTCTCAAAGCCAGGGGGTCCCACTAATAGTCAGTGTGACACACTGTGTAGAGCAGCAGCATTTTAAGACACATCTCACAATGGGTTGATCTTAATCAAGTGGACTGTTGTGTACACAATAATCAACCAAAGGACATTTCCAGGTTTGTTGTTAATTAAATGTCACTTAATGCTCTCTGGGTGGTAATTCTGTAAAGCAGTCAATGTAGTATGTGCTAGAACTTGAGTGATGACAGGAAGCACACTGTTTCCTGCTGAGGTCTGATAGTAGCAGTACATAGAGAACAGTCTAGCATTTGGACATTGTTTTATATTATCTCAGAGATAATGCACAGTATTTCCTTTTTTAAGCATCTGTTCCCAGTCACTATGCAGACCAAAGACAGCACACATGCATTTCAGTTTAATACCATGACCTCATCTTTGGTAATGGCCTGCATCTACCGGCCAAAGAAGACATGGGAGCAGTAGTTTACAGCTGTCCTGTATATTTTCTATTTCTCACTTCTAGTTGTTGCTTTGACACAACAGCGGGCACAGCTGACTCTGTTGCACCAGTGTTTGTTATGGACATTCTAAGTCCACAGGAATATACACAGCCTTCCTGAAAGATCATTTATCACAAGCTAGAAACTTTGTGTTGTGCCTTTGACCATACTCATGTGAAGTTTGATCCACATGATGATTTCACTTTGATCTATGTCATTATCAGCCAGTAGTGCAGGAACATGTTTGTAGAGAACTTTGTTTTTAAGGGAAATGTACTCCTGATCATATCTTAAGAGAAACAAGCTTGTGTAGTGACATGTTATCCTAATTTTACTTCCTTTTTCTCTCACTCCAGGAAGTAAAAGTCATAGTTTTGACATCACTTTCCCACACACCCCTTTTCAGGTGTTGCAAGAAAAACTTGCCTCCCTGTGTGGCTTTCTAGGCTGAAATGCAAGCTTTGTGTCAAGCTGCTGCATGACAACTACAAATGAAAAATAAAAGCAAACCTTTTTTTGGGTCAAATGTTAAGATTATAGAAGTTCGCCTCATTAAAGTTGAAATGAAACAAAGGTTTCTCACAGATGATAGCTGCTTTTTAGCTGCTGTGAATTGTAATAGCTATGAATCCCTTACAATGACAACATGACAGCATACCCACACTTTGTAAATATAAGGATTCCATTTCAAGCTCCTTATGTTTACCAGAATGTTATAGTTGCCATTGTTTGGTTTTCTATGCATGTTTATTGTTTATCAGCATTGGTTACCAGACCGGAATAGGCAGTGTTAAGCTGGCTTTATCGTGGTCTTTTGCACTAGGCCTTCTCATCGCAACCTGAACCTGTGCTACTGACTCTTCTATTTGTGTCACTCTGCAGCGGGTGTATGACTTGGCTATATCAAACACAAGCTTCACCACATCCTGGTGAAACTTGCTCATTGTTAGACAGCTGTATGATCTACATAGATGTTGCCTGGCTGAACTATAGATCCTTTACTGTCAGCACTTGAGATTTTTGTGTTTATTAAAAGGCTAAAATGTAACTTCTCTAATTTATTTTTCTCTTTCTACCAGTGAATAGACATAGCCACTTGAAGGACTTCATGCTGGTTGTGTCAATAGTCATTGGCATGGGTGGCTGCTGGTTTGCCTTCATCCAGAATCGCTACTCTAAGGATCACATGAAGAAGATGATGAAGGACCTGGACGGCCTGCAGAGAGCTGAGCAGAGCCTGCATGATCTGCAACAGAAGTGAGGGTTTTCCCACACCACCCACAAGCAATATGTTAAACGCTGTGCACGCACCCCAGTAGTTTGCTCGTAAAGCACGGAAATGAATGCACATCCTGTTTTAGTCCTCATATTAGAACTACATTTATTCGCACCATCTTTTCTAAAGTATAGTTCAACTGGCACAAGTCATCACTTTCACAGGATTGCATGATCAGAGCCACATTGTTCTAAAATGGGAGGTGCAACACAGTTAGAGGTGCACTATGCTTCAGTGGACTGACATTTAGACCAATAAGTGACTAAATTGGCCTAAGTGTCACATTTTAAATGAAATTCAACCATCAAATGATAAACTATATGACAAGATACTTCTAATATAAATGTGTTAATGGTTCAAGGACACATCAGTGCACTCTTTGTTTAGGTGTGTCGTTTGGACAGTAGGAATGGTATTAAAGCTGGTTTTATAACTCTGTACATGTCACCAATCAGGAAGTGTCCTCTAAGTTACCTTTCGGCTGCAACACAGCATTGCAAGCATTACAAGCTGATGCAACACTCTAGTGCAGTGTTCTCCACATTTTCACTGGCATTTCTGCTCAGACCTTTGAAAGGCCAAAGAACAGGTGTGTCAAGACCATCAGGGTTAAGCCCGCTCCCAATCATGACCATGACATCGCAGTACAGTGTGGCTATCTCCTGCTTTGAGAACACGTATGCACATCATGAAGGCATCCACCTGTGCTTCTTGAAGTAATGACATACTTTTGATTGTGACAGTGAGTATTTTTGGTAGCACTGGCTGGAGTCATTCTAACTGTGTATCAGACTATGGTGAAGAGATTCTCAGTTTAGCAGCCCAGTGTCTTTCCAGGCCTCACCCATAATCATGCTTTTAACTTTGAGGAGGAATTCAAAGTAACCTAGCAGTTAAGCCATACAAAGGTTGTGTCTGCATTATCACAGAATACTACATGCTGACACCTGGTGTATTCCAGCCTAAGAAGCATCAGGCAATGTCCGCCTTAATGATGTAATATTTTGAGAGGAGATGTTTTAAAAAATAAATGCAGTTTCATGATGAATGATTGAGTGTTTCAAGCCAAATCTAACTATTTTAGTCCTGTTAATGCTTCAAGGTATGCTCGGAATGTGCTTGAAGCGTGCACTGTTTCCTTTTATTCCTTTAAAGGATACTCAAAGATTGCTTCTTCTTTAACACAGAGCAGGGTTTGTTTTTTTAACTTGTAATAGGATTAGGTGCACAGGGGGTGGGGGAAAACCTTACATGAAAAGCAACTTTTCATAGGTGACTTCCTTCCCTGTAGTCGTATTAAACCACGTCATAGAGGAACTTGCTAGTTAAGGAAGGAAAGTTGGTGGTCGGCTTGTTTGATTACTTAAAACTGAAGGATTCATCTTCGTGGACCAATTACTTTTCTGCAGGATATTTACATAAAATATATTTATTTGTTTTTGAAATTGTGTACAAAGTTGAATTTGACCTCAGGTTGTTTGTAATAGAAAGGTCAATGAGTGTCCAGCATGGAAACAGATTGACCTCTGGGGAGCAGCGACATGTGTTGCCACATAACTGCATAACGTCTCTGGTCCAATGCTTGGGGATATTGAACCAGGGGGGATGAGCTGTTATGTGTACCCGTATTACCCACATGAGTTGCTCTTTGTGTCAGCTGGCTGTTTAGGGGATGCAGATTGTTGAAACATGATCTGATGAACAGCAAATAGACTGTTAAGACACGACTTAGGTTTCACTGACTGAAATGAGGCCTGGATCTTCTGAAGTAACACCGCCTCCTACTTTGCTGTAGCAAGTCAGTCATGGCTCCCATCTATTCATATTTTATACTGTATAATATAAGGTGCATTGCTTTTTTTGGGGCAGTGCAATACAGGAGAAGAGGTTTTTTGAAGTTGTGTTTGCCTACTGAAGAGCCATTGACTGCTCTATTTGGGTCAGAAAATTGAGGTCCAGCTTTTTCCCTTTGGTTGCCTGCCAGCCCAGTCTATGTTTTCCCTCTGTGGCTTTATACTTTAATCGCTTTTCAAAACACACCTTCCACTCCCAACATTGAAGTTGGCTTTGACTTTTCTTTTTTGCTCAGCTAATTGTTCATACTTCATTCTAGCCCGCAGATCAAAACAAGATCACTTTTAATACATCGTAAAGGTGCACTTGTGCAGATTTTATTCAGCATTATCTGTACAGACTATACAAAAAAAAAGTTGTGCAACCACATTTAAATCCATTCTGTGTTGAATTAGGAGACAGGCAAACCAAAAGTCTCATGAAGCATAAACATTTTAAAATGCCTTTTTAATTACACTGAGTTTTGCACTGGCTTATGTATTAATAATCAAAAGACAATCTTTAGTAGTCAAGGTAACCTGTGTATCTACTCTAACAACAATGAAGATTCTCAGACATTGCGCACTTGGTTTGAAGTGTTAGTGTTATAAAAGGACAGCCAAGGACTCAGGGATGTTATATTCAATTGTAGGTCAGTATGACTCGCAAGATGACACCTTCAAGACAGGTCATGTTTTTGGAGCTGATGGAGCGAGAGAGAGGGAGAGATGTCCTATGTCTGTAGCGTGCTTTGCTTCCTGATCCCTGCTGCCAGCTGCTGTCTTTCCATGCATTCAAGCAGATCCTGTGGTGATATCAAGTAGCCTTGCCTAGCCGTGACTGCACTGTTGGGAGGCAGTGGGAGGAGCTTTGGCTGTAGCTGGATTTCCTGCTTGCCTATTAAAGCCCTGTTTGACCTAGACCCTGCCTCACTGGTGGGAGATGTTAAGCATAACTGCTCTACTGCTAATTCACCACACAGACATCCTTGAAAAGGACTGGCAACAAGGACAAAAACACTGCATGTGATAAGCATTCAAATGCTTATTTTCTTCCACATATCATTTTATCTGTTCATAAAGTTGTGTTGGGGGTAAGGGAAGTAAGATAAATAGAATAGTATCAGCATATAAGATATGGGTTGTGTTTTACCTTGTGTTTGCAGAGACTTTCTGTCTGCAGTCTGTAATCCCTGCAATGCAAGTCAGGGGAAACAGCATTTGGCGTCTTCTCGCTGAGCATTGTAGCTCTGCCAGTGCTCCTGAATCTTAGCTAGAGAATGGCAGGGGTCAGGGTCGAAAGCATTAGCTGGACCGCCCACCACCCACATTTTCCATGGCCAGCTCTCTGGATCACCTTTCATTTCTGTGCTCACTCTGTTGTGTGTGGCCAGACAAAAGAAGAGTTCTTCTACTTCTCCCTAGAGACTGAAAAATAATACTGCTTCCTGCCCTTAAGTGTCTTAAGACTATGAAAAAGCAACATTTCATTTTCACTAGATCACCAACATTAGCTTGGTAAATAGTCTATTTCTTGGTTTAAATGGTGTATATTACCAATCTATCTTAATCACAATGGATGTGCTGAGAGGTCTTTTTACAGCTACTGCATTTATGATATGTTTTAAAATAATTATGTCATGGCTCACAAGCCAAAAGTAGACTTTTCTTTAAGAGGCTATCCTAAAAATAACCCCCGTACAAAGCAACACACATGACACTCCAGGAGCATCGGGTACCACACTGTACTGTTCTAGAGTTACACTGTGCAGCTGTTCCTATTCTTTGCTGTGTCCCTCTGATGTCACTTTATTGTGAGCTGGCCAGCAGCTGACCACGGCTCTGTGCTTTCTTCATGCTAGCCATTGTTTCCGGTTTTACATAGCTGATGCAAGTCTTGCATTCTACACATACATGGCACTCGCATGCTATCACGTCACGCCTGCCCGCAAAAATGCCCACAGACACTGACACAGACACAGACACTACTACGCTATGTGAAAAATAATTGTTTCTTTTTGTCTCAGGCTGCAGATCGCCCAAGAGGAGCACCGTACGGTAGAAGTGGAGAAGGTGAACCTGGAGCAGAAGATGAGGGATGAGATTGACTCAGCCAAGCAGGAGGCCCAACGTCTGAGGGAGCTGCGCGAGGGCACAGTGAACGAACTGAGTCGCCAAAAGTATGCAGAGGAAGAGCTGGATCAGGTACCTTTGAATAAATAGTTGTGACTCAATCATGGTCCTTCAACACAGAGTGACTAGAATTAACTTCCAGGGTGGCAACTGCACAGTATGTTTTAGTTTCTCAGATTCACACTGACTATCATATAAATACGCCCACTGAAGTCTTTGTCCATTAGGACTTTGGCAGGACAACACAGCACATCCCACACAATTAAGAAAACAACATGAATACTAGCTTTTAAGGACTATCACAGTGATCCACACCTTTGTCACAGTATGTTTTTTATTCACAAACATGCTAGGCCTTCAGATGTTGCGTAGTTTCCCAGTCCCATATTCAGGAGGCAGGTGTCCATCATTCCTCAGCTCTTGCTTCTTTAAACATGTTGGTTTTAATTGCCTTTGAGGTTAGGAGAATGTTCGATGTAAGTCTTTTGAATGTGTGTGTTAGAAAACATGGTGACTGTTTTCAGATGTTGGATAGATTTTTCTATAAATTGTGTGTTTGTTGATTAATATCAAATTACAGGCCCGCAAAACTGTACACATTTAATTAATATGTGTAGTATGTTACCTACCCTATGCTAGGACATTTTGAGGCAAAGGAAACACCCCCCATGGCAAATAGGTAGCCTACAATGTGTAAGGAGAGATGTCATGGCTTCTACAGTTTCAACATCACGTTTATATTCAGCTTGTTTTTATGAGGTCACCATACCATTAGGTATTGCCACATATAATTAGAACAGTGGTATTAACCAGCTTAAAAATATGTATTTCACCATTGCCACCACCTATTCTGTTTAAACTGGATTTACAAATATATTGTTATCATCTTTACAAATGAAATGAAAATCCTTTTTTAAAGTTTCATTATTATGGAGGTTTAAACTAAAGTATTTAAATTCGTTGCCCATGTAATAATTATTTTTCTATGCTTAGGCAGATGGACAAACAAAGACAAACGCTATCAATGTTTTATGTGAATGTATTCTTTGCATCAATAACTTCTTTCATCAGACGTTCACCAATTTGTTTTTGTCCCTTTTATGATCCAACTGCATGTAAGCAAATCATGTACTGTGGTTCATATAAATGCAAATGATTTACAGTAATTCAGTCAATGTGCATCTGACGCATCTAGTTTGTCAAAGTGGTCCATTTTAAGAAGCAGTCAACAAACTAATCTTGCATTTTGGTTGCTTTGAAATGATCAATTTATGGTTGTGTCATTGTATGTGTTAATGCATCTAATGGTTGTCATGTGTCAAAGGTGCGCATGGCGTTGAGGAAAGCAGAGAAGGAGCTGGAGTCCCGGAGCAGCTGGTCCCCTCCAGAGTCTCTGCAGAAGTGGCTGCAGCTCACCCATGAGGTGGAAGTGCAGTACTACAACATCAAGAAGCAAAATGCTGAACGGCAGCTCCTGGTGGCCAAAGAAGGGGTAAGCATGTCGAAACCTGAAGGGGAAAGCCATACTGTTTTAGTTCATAATATCGCTTTAATGATTGTGTTTCAATTCCTGAATCCTATTCCAAAGCTGCTATTTACAACTTCCCTGTCACACTTAAATGTGGCACTATCTGTGTGGATGACGTCCATGAGGCCGAGATAAATGTTTGTTCATTTGTTTTCTCAGGCAGAGAAGATAAAGAAGAAGAGAAACACTCTCTTTGGGACTTTCCACGTGGCTCACAGCTCCTCTCTGGATGATGTGGACCACAAAATACTGTCTGCAAAGTAAGTTACAGAATGTAATGGTGGAATACTTTTCCTACACTTTTAGAAAATAAGCAGCATTTTAATTTGCAAAATAACAAGTGACTTTAGAACCCATTTGGACAGCATTAACATTACAGAGGGAGGGTCAAAAGCATTCACTGCACTCCTCTGTATTTGACTCGTTGTTCTGGACAGCATATCAACCATCAGAGTTACAGGATGTGGTCTATGATGGAAATACAAATGGTGTAGGACAGGGGTGCCCACACTTTTTTGGGCTGGTGAGCTACTTTTGAAATGACCAGCTCACTGAGGTCTACCAACCAAAAATAAAATCCCAAATTGCAAGGGTTGCTGAATAACACGTTTTATTTATACATGGGATAATAGGGCTGCAACAAACGACTAATTTGATAATCGATTAATCTATCGATTAATGAAACGACTAATCGACTATTCAGACTATTACTGTATGCCTTGCACAATTTCTCAAACCCTCTTGTTTAGCCATCAACTTTTAGATTTAGCTTGAGGTTGTTTTAGGCATGTGGAAACTAACAATGAAGACAATAAAGATGAATACTTGATTCAAAAATACATATATTATTAAATTAACAAATTGTGAACAAAACTAACATTGCTTTTTATTTAAATAAAATAAATAATATTTCACATCAAAAGAAACAACAATGTTTTAACAAATCGTATTAAATAATCTGATGACAGAACTGTGAACAGAATAGCTGAAACTTTAACAAAATAAAGAGTAACTCTGTTTCCTCTAATCATTAACCCATGTTTGAATCATTGAGTTAACTGCGTGTGTTGCTGCTAGCATACATAACACCTGACGTGGAAACGTTACTCGTGGATGGGGCTGCAGAGCTGCTAGAAAGACAGTCGAGCCCGGTGCATTCCTCCGTCTGAATGTGGAGCACTTTTGATAAATGTTTGACACATTGCTCGTGTTACCGCCCTCACATGCTGAACTCTCTTGGCAAGGAGCATTGTCCACCTCAAGACGGGTAACATTTAACCACACCTTGGAGCGCTTCTCTCCGCCATCTCCTCCGTGTGTTGCTGCTTGTAGCAGCCGCGTGTGTGTAAACTGCCCCGCCCCCTCGCGCACAGACGGGGGAGAGAGATCTCGTCTCGATTGGAAAGATCGAAAATACACCGACATTTGTTTGTCTTTTTGCATGTTAGAAACGAGTTGGCGACACTAAGACTGCGAGATAATATTTGTGTAGCAATAATACATGACCTTTCTCTTTCTCAACTCGCTACTCGGAGGGAAGTCGCTGTCATATGCCTTGTGAACACTCCGATAATGCCTCTCCACGTTACCTTTCTTTGGCAGAGCGACGCTTGCTTTACAAATAAGGCAAATAACCTTTGAATGTGACATCACAAACAAATATTCTTCCTCCCATTCTGGGTGGAAGTGGTTTGTCTTTAGCTTCTTGCTCGGTCCCGCACTCATTTAGTTGTTTGTCTCTTGTTTGTCTCTTTAACTTAATTTGAGTTTTCCCGGCACTTGACTGATTTTGTATCGCTTTGCATTCTGGGTTAACAGACTGGAAAGCGATAGGTCGCTTTTTCTGTCAATCAAGTAAACTCCTGAATTAAGTGGCAGGGAGGCCAAGGGAGGAGGGATCAAAACTTGTTTTGTCTATTTTAACGGAACAGGATTTTTTTTTTTATGAATGACTCGCGATCTACCAGCATTGCCCCCGCGGTCGACCGGTCGCCCGTGGTCGACGTACTGGGCACCTCTGGTGTAGGACTACCCAAACTGTAGCTCACTCAACAGCACATTTAATGATTTCTTGCTCTTTGGATAGTTTCCTTTTTCATTTTGGTTCTCTAAAGTATACAATTGGTTGACAGGTAACTTACTTGTTTTGGATATTTTGTCTCCTAATAAATTCATAATAATCTCCTTTTTCCTCTGAACTTATTTCCCCTCTCCTTTTTTCTCCTCCTCTTCCATAGACAAGCCCTGGGTGAGGTGACGGCTGCTCTGCGTGAGAGGCTTCACCGTTGGCAGCAGATCGAGATCCTCACCGGCTTCACCATCGTCAACAACCCCGGCCTCCCTTCTCTGGCCTCGTCCCTCAACCTTGATGGCAGCCACTCGAGCGGCAGAGCGACGCCTCAGCACTTCATGATGTCTGAGGACATGGACGACATGGACGAGGATTTCGTGTCTGGAACTCTGCAATGTAAGAGTTCCTCCGAATCTCTGGGTAGCAAACGAACCCCTAAACATTCCATGGGCCTGCTGGGAAAATCCAGATATCAGCCCACATGAGAATTTGGACCTTTTATTCCATAACACAAACTGAAATTGTGTTTGTGGCCTTCCTGGTGATGGAGATAGTGAGCGTCACACATGTCTACGATTGAATGAGTGTTGTTTTACAGTTGTGTAAGATGTACCTTGTAAATCCACATAATTGTCTTGATCTTTTTTCACACAATTCCAGTTGAATGCTTTTTGTTGAATGTTCTCATTTTTGGATAAAAGTGTTAACTTGACTTAGTCGATAATGGAGACTGAACTTACTCCTGTGACTTTCCTCTGGACATTGAAATGTCAAGAAAAATACACCTCTTAATGAGAACTTCTTTTTGTGCAAACTTATTTGTAGTGGTTGTGTCCTAATGTGTGCTACAAACCTTTTAGTATTAGGTTTAAGTCAAATGGGTAAAACTAATGGAAGTGTATTAAATGCAGCCAGTGCCTAACTTAATGTCTTAAGGTTACATATGAGACAAAAAAATGCACTAAAACTGCCTCATCATCTTTTACAAAATCCAAATGTACAAAACTCATTATAAATTAATTGTAGAATTCTTAGGTAAACACATCAACCACATCTATCTCGTTATGAAAACTTGATGTCTTTCCACCTCGTTATGAGCTCAATATTTGACTTATTATTATGACCGACCTTGACACGCTTAGTATGGGTTTCACTAACTGCAGGCGAAACTTGTTCTGCTGAGTCCTTTTCCGACCGCAATAGTGAGTAATTCTTTTTATCAACATTAACTGCACTCCCTATCTCACTCCCCTCTCTTCCTCCACTACTTCTCTTGGCATTTGGCTGCACTGCTGTCTCATTGGGCTAACTACAGATGGCCCCCGACTGTTGGAGCGGCGAGCCAGCGACCTGTGGTCTGTCGGTTCAGACTGTCGGCACATGAGGAAAATTCGTGGTTGGCCATTTATTCATGCCCTAGTTCAACCCTCAGTTTGACACCCCTGCCTCTTCCCCTGACTCAAAACCCCACGGAGCCTTTACATTTATTTAACTGGAAAATAAGCAACGACTCCATGCTGCGTTCATCTTGCCTTTCTTTAGTTGCTTGCTTTCCACCTCTCCTCTAAATCTTGTCTTCCCAGTGCACTCCTGCTCTCCTCCCAATGTGATTTGTCTATTACTTTTATTGTAAATGGGCAAAATATTACTGAATTATGTTTTTATTTATTAATTCAAACAAGCAGTTCAAGTTGGTTTGATTTCTCCTTTTGATTTTTATATTTTTCCTTGTGAGGACAAGAACATAAAACAGTGGTGTTGGGATTTTATATTATTAAATGAGGTTTTTCTTGGCGCCTTAATCATATTACAAGCTTTAAATCTGTTTAAGTCAGGATAAATGTTTCCCAGCACCTGAGTATCTTTCCAATAATCCCAGTCAGTCTCCCTGTGTCCGTCAGTCTTTATTTACCAAGTGGTTGTTGATAACGCTGTTGTTTTGTGCCCACAGCTCCCAGTATGATGTCTCTGCGCCAACGCCACATTGACCCCCAGCTGGCCATGGGCTCCCAGAGGTTGGTAGACAGTTGCCTGTTGGCTGGGCATCAGGGAGAGGGTGCCCTGTATGCGTCCAGGTCCAGGGTTGCCTTCTCAAACTCACGCAGCCAGCTCGACTCTCTCCCTCTGCCTCCTCTGTCCTCGGCTGTGTCTCACCCCTCCATCATCTGTGCTTCCAACTTCAATCACCATCCCCAGTCCTCTTTGTCCTCCTCTTCCTACTGCTTGCCCAGCTCTGTGTCCGGTGTTGCAGCGCATCATTCCTCCCATATATATCATGGTTCTTCTTTCCAGCCCATGGACCCCATTCCTGATTTCACGTTCTCCGAGGTCTCCAATGCAGAGCGCAGCGACAGCTTCGGGTATCCATCTTTTTTCCAGTTCTTTTACACACATCGCATGTGTGTTGATGTGTTTTTTGTAATCACTTGCTTTCCCTTTTTAATACATTTTCTTTAGTTTCTTTTCCACGTCATGAAGCATCTCATAATCTACGCATTTACTCTTTTTAACCTCTCAGTGTTCTTGTTCTCTGTCTGCACAACTAACAAGTGTGGAGTTCCAGTGTCCAGGCTGTGCCCAGCGTGTGTCCGTGGCTTTGCAGGCATTGTGTAGACAAACCCCAGCATGCAAGTCTTTACCTTTTTTTTTTTAACTTAATCTTCCTCTAACTCGTGTTTTATGTCCCCCCACAGAGACCTAAATCGCTCGGACTCTGACTCCTCCCTGTCTCTCTCCCAAGTTGGTGATCGGCTATCTGCCTACAGCTCCAAAGGCCACCTTATCAAGCCCGTCTCTCTCATCCACAGCATATCTGGTCGGGCAGATGACACCGTGTCTCTGCATGCGTACACCCCCAACGGAGGGAACCGCATTCTTGAGGTCAGTCCTGTAGAGCTTGGCCATGACAGCCCAATACTCATGAAGAAGATGTACGGCTTGGAGCAGAGTCCCACCCTGGCAGAGATCCAAAGTATGTCTGAGTCGTCTCGCTCCCTCAGCCCCAACTCCACTGAACCTGACACTCCGTCACCTACTGGGGGTCAACCAGGGGCCGTGGGGGCAAAGGCCAACACTCGGATCCCTCAGCTGTCCTCCAAGAAGAGCCCGCTGGAGGAGGACAGCGGCTCTACTGGAGAAGACACAGATTCCACTGCCAGCCGCAAGAAACACACCTTCAAGATCTTCAAGAAACAGAGGAAATAAGGGCTACATGAACTACAGGGCTATCGACGCTGTGTGACTGTGTTCCTCTGGTCTGTTTTTGAGAAAAGTTGTATGGGTTCTTTAATGGTGAAAAGATGGCACAATTTGTTGCCGTTGCATCTTTTGGTAGGTACGACACCTACTCTAAGAAACTGTGGGAGCAACCAGCTGTTCAGTTTTATCTGCTTTTTGGTCAATGTTCAATATGTGGGGAATGGGTAAGTTTGTATATTGGAGTGTAAAGTATTATTTATTCTGCGGGAAGTTGTGCCAGTCTCAAAGGCAAATGTTTTGTCACCAGTTTTCTTTCTTGTTCCTAAATATTTAACATTTTGCATGTCTTCACTTTTGTTTGACTGGTAGGCTACTTGAATGCTCTTAGTGTTTGCTTGGTTATGTTGTTAACCTGCTTAGACAACACTTGATGTTTCTTTTATTACTACCTAACCACCTAGCCTACACGTTCAAAGCGAATGGGCACCTCTTTGTTTCACTCAATACTTTGTTTTTTATCCAAGGTTACAATTTTCCCTGTCTCTTTTGGCAGAGTAAATGACACAATCAAGAGATCCTCAAACTGAAGAGTAGTCAATGCAATCTCAAGAGGGGTACAACCGTGACATAAAGATAATTTTGGGAACAGCAATTTCAGCTATTGGTTGATTTAGAAACAATATAGATATTAATAATTTGTAACATTGGATCTCAAGATGTTTACAATAAAGTACATTTCCCTTTAACAAGTTACAAAGGACCATCAAATTCCAGCATTAGATATTTTTGCTTTACTTTTAGTATTTAGGTGTCGAGTGCATGAGAGTGAGAGAAATGCTTTGCTTTAAGTGTCTAGCTTTTAAAATATGCCAACAAGTTTAACCACTGATTAATATTTGGAATATCACGTTTTCTCAATGGAGTAGGTAGTGATCAACGTTTGTAGTTTCTGCGTCGATTACCAAGAACATGATGACCTATGAGACTGCGTGTTATTGTGCTTTTATTGATCTTTGTATTGAATTTAAAAGTTACATCAGAGAAACAAGTACATCATATACCGAGGCAACATATATATCAAAGATTTTAACACAAAATACTGAAGCACATTTTTACTGAACTATTTGATATAGAGTAATCTTTTGTGTTTTAAGATTTGGTTCAAGTTTACCGTTCCTTTTGGCTCCTGCTATCCCCAGTCCTATTGATTTTGTTTAAATAACTCTTTAGCTGAGAATGAAAACTTCTCAGCAGTTTGTAAGATGGGTGCTGGTAAGGGCTATAGTTACCAGGCAAATTAATTTGCTCTGTTCGATATAAATGTTCAAGTTCTAACTACTTTATAATTCACCTTTTTTTGAAGATTTAGCTTGTCATGTCAAAGTGCCAAATCTATCCAAACTGTCAGAAGCCTTTGTATATGTAGTGTGTCCGCCCCCTTTACAAAGAACACATGCTTTATATGAACAGTCTGCATTGCAATGTATCTCCTGAGCTTCAACGCTGAATGTCCGAGGGTAATGTTCCTGTTGCAGTATCATCAGTACAATATGTTTACATTTGTTACAGATAATTACTACTCTCACATTATCGCAGCAAAACACATTGTGCCCGTTTTAATATTGACAGCTTCATATGAGCACAGAACTATGCATCAGTAGTTGTAGGTGATTGCTAAAGTAGTAAGGACGCCAGGGTGTTCCTGACCAATGAACAACCAAAAAGTGCTGCAGACGACACAGTGGGCCTCGACGGCCTCATAATGTAACAGGTGGTCTAAATGTATACGACTTGTTTGAATGCTTTATTTTAGAAACCAGCAACAACAACAAAATAGATTTCCTACTGGTACTTTTTGTTAAAGTGTCATTTGTACCTCTTTGCACGACAGAGCTGTTAATGTTTTTGCCATCTGAATGTGTGCGTGTGTCCGTCTGCTCCGAGTATAATGTAATGTTGATGCATGTCAAATGCTGTAACAAACCTATATTGGGTCAAAAGAGTTACCCACCCTACTTCCTCTATCTCTTCATTTTCAGCTTCTATTTATGAATTCACACAGTATATTTGTACAGAGAAAATGACAATTTTGCATCTTCTGTGATGGTCTAGACTTTTACGGCACTCCTGCATGATAGCAATAAACTATTTTGAATGAAAAATGAGTTGATTTCTTATGAACATTACACCACATTCAACACCTCAGATCAGTAGAAATCAACAAAGGTTGGCTTCTCTTAAATATTATTTTCTCAACAAGTTTGCCCCCAAACATAATTGTAATTTACATTTAAATGTTGATGGAGCATAACAGGTGAAATATTGCCGTTTCCCTGTGGTTGTATGTTATATATTGACATATAACCCTATCAACAAAGCTCCACCCAAACTGTGTATATAGCAATGAGGGTGGGGCTATGTGCTGTTAAATATTGACCTATCGTTCAATATAAGTATAAGGTGGAGCAGGATGAATGCCGGATCTTAAGGCTCCTTGTTTCTTTTCAGCTTGAAACTCTTTAATGGGGTGTTTAATGAAAACATGGATTTCCAAATACTATACAAATACATCTGTCAGTTTTGTCTCGTGCAGGTAGGAGCTGGTTTTAACTTCATTATCTGTGGTACCCGTGTTATTTGATTTAAACATATTATATAATGTGTTAATCCCCCCTGCCTCAAACAGATCGTCTGGGGTTTAGACTCGGTGAAACTCCTGAATCCTCCAGACGAGCCACTGTCAGATCATCTTTTGAAAATACTTTACTCTTGTGATGCTCCTGCCACAGTACAGCTGGACTGTATTGTATCTTTCGAAACTGGCATCACTTCCACACTCCAGCTGAAAAAATGGAGCTGTGTCCCCGGTGACCCTGAAATAAAGACCCTGGTGGTGAACTTTCCGGATTGGCTTGTGTATCAACCTGATGGGATTATCCCTGACTCCCAGTGGGTGCTGAGTTGCATCCTTCTGGCGTCAGTCAGATACAGTGGACTTGATGACAGCGAAGGGTCTGTCACTGCTCAGAATTTGGCAAGTTTGCAGCCTAAAGCTTTCTTTAGTCGACCTGTAAAGCAGCATCAACTGTGCTTCTCCTGGAGTACACAAATGCTGAAGTTAACTCAACAGTCTGCAAAGAAACAATGCCCTTTGGAGCAAGGTAAGGTTTGAAAACTTGCTTCAAACTATGTGGAAAAAGACAAATAACATGTAACATTTAACAACAGAGAACACACTATTCAGATATACAAATTAATTATCTTAGGGTGTGTAAAACATGTTAAGGGGGAGATTCATTCAGGTAATTGTATTTCATAAGAGCATGCTTCTCATACCATCTGTCTGAATATGACAGATTCTGACCCATAGCACACAAAAAGCTGACTGGGTGGTCCTAATTGACAGTGTTTGGGTGGGTAGGCTCCCCAAAAACCCATATGTATATGCACAAGCGATACAAAAGTCAGTTTTTCATAATATGTCCACTTTACTGTCATGCTTTACTTGTCTTGAAAGGATGGTGGTGTTTTTAGATTTTACAAATATATTTAAAATCCCAATCAAAACGTTTTATTTTCATTCAGAAACAGTGCATTTCCTGCCTTCGATGTATGCTTCAACTGGAGAAAGCTTCGGTATCACGAAGACACTGGACTCTTACAGCAGTGAGTTTCTGGAGTACTTGCGTGTTAAAGCCATCTCTCTTCCATGGTAAGACATCAAAAGTCACACCAAATATAGCTTGATTTCTGTTATTCAGATATTATTTAGGGATGGTTAACTTAATGTGCTTTGTATTTTTGTCAGGTGTATGTTTTCCATCTGGATATTTGTGACCAGTAACTGCCAGGACAGATTGTGTGGTGTGTTTTATCACATAGACTCCCATCTAAACTATGTTACACCAACACTGTTCCTCAAAGAATCAGGTATAATTTGGATTTTTCTATTACCTCTCAGATATTCTCTATGTAATAACTATTAGATGTTATTATCTGGACGTACATGAGTAATTTCCTCATGTGTACAGGACAGCTACACGTCCAGATGGATGGAGAGGCAGAGGAATCCTCTGCATTTGTTTCTCAATTCAAGGTGCCTTTGAATGAGTGGTGCCAAATCAGTGTGATGTTGCATGGTAGAACGGTGAGTAGTCTCCTGTTGGCAAAGGATTGTCCTAAGACTCTATAAAGTATGTGAATAATTGTAGAAACTACAAATAAGTAGTTCATAATCATGTGTTTGCATCTCAGGTTACTCTGTCCATGGTGTGCATGGATAAAGAGCAGAGGACAGTTTATTCACAAGAATATGTGTAAGTGTACTTCTGACAATACAAATAGATTAATTACATGATTCAGTTATACCAAACATGAAAATGCACTTCAAGGGTCAACATGTTCACGTTGTGTCTTGCAGGATGGTTCATGCTGTCGTACTCGATGACACAGAGGGATATTTTGTGATTGGTGGAGGGAAATACATAAGAGGTGTGGAGGGTTATTTTGGGCCAGTGGTTTACCACCGCAACAGAATACCACCGTACAGCATGGTAATATAATGCACCTGTCCACGGTTATTTCCCATTGCAACCTTTAACTACATTTGTGACTGATCTTTTTTGTTATCTTCTCCAGTCTGAAGTTGTTATTCCAGATGTTATCAGGGCCTTGAACCTGACTGGATGGCTGCAGACCTGTCAACGATTTCGTCTCGAGATGGATGTTAAAATCAGTGGCTATTCTTTCAGGGCTGAACAGGAGAAAGAGTCTGGTAGTAGGCTTATATAACCACCAGATGGTGCTAAAGTTACTGTATCTGAAATATTCTCTGCAGTGCTACTGAATGTGCAAATGAACTATCCATGATTTCTTTTCAGACACCTGTTTTGATGCTTTCCATGAGTGGATGGGAAAAGACAGATTACCATTGTACTCACATTGCGAGCTGTGGGAGGCAGCTGTCCCTCATAGAAGACAGGCTGCAGACCTGGCCAAGTTTCTGGCTTTCAAGCATGGTAAGAGATAACCTGCGTAAACGTGAGTAACCTTGCACTGGTACAATATATGTATATAAGTAACAACAAATATGAAGGTATACGTTTTTGACTTGTTTGAGCTTCTGGCCACCAAAACGGTGAACCTGTTATTGATTAAAAATCTGTATGAATCTTCAATTAACTTTTTCGTTTGTAAGGGTGGAACAATTACACTTTTACAATTCTTATTGGTAGATGAAGATTTTAGACCGAAATGAATTCTGTCAAACCTCGAGCCCATTTTTAGATGCTTTAAATGTATACAACTTTTTCTGCATGCAATAAATTATTTGCGGATTTATCATGTCATATTCATACCTAAAATAATTTAAGGATTAACGACACTGAAATAGATAACCAATTGCTTTTTCACGATGAACACTGTTCATCCAGAGCTTAGGGATTGCATCAACTTTAGGATATCCACTTAAATGTTAAGGGTGATCTAAACAAAGTGTCACTGAAAATGTTTAACGAATGACACATTTCTCTAATGTAAACAATCAGAATTTGTATTCCCAATGTTTTTCCCTGATGATATCCATGTGTTATTCCACATGAAGCACTGAAATCAGTTCACTTGCTGACTTGCAGGAGAAGGAGCCAGCCTGCCAGCTTTGGGCAGAGCACTGTACTCCTTATCACTTCATAAGCTGAGCAGAGCGAGCAGCACTGGAGTGGTCAGCAGAATATTACCACTGCTGCTCCAAGCTGGCTGCTTAGCTGATAACCGAGCTCTGCACATGTCCTCTGTGCTCTACAGCGCTGGCCTGGGAGTGAAGGAGCAGCCCAATAAGGTGTGTGTTACTGGGTCAGCTATAGAAGAATATTCTGCCTGTGGTGAACATTTCTGCCATATTATCTCTTCCCCTTGTGTTTGGTATAGGCTTGGCTGCTGGCCCTGATGGCAGCCCAGAAGGATGATCGGTTAGCTCTTCTGCATCTTGGGCACATGCACCATCAGGGTGTCCATGGCCTCCCCACAGACCCCGACCTGGCCTATGCATATTATGCAAACATTGCTAAACAGACAACTTTAGATCGTCACAATCACACACCAGAGCAGGTAATGTATGTGGATGTGACTATATGGTTTTCATGCTCATTTTGAATGTGATTTCTAAATTAAAGTATGCAGTCCAATTTCGTTAGAACTTAATATTTTGATCTATATTTTTGGAGTCAATATGAACTTTCTCTTGCATAAATAAATTCATGGTAATTAATGGCATGATATCAATTGTTTTATACATATTATATAGGAAAAGGTTTCTCCTTATGGTGGCTATAATTCTTAGATTTCCATACATTTATTTACCTTTGTTGCTGTTTTATCAAGATAGATAGCAGTATTATACACCTTTGATAATATTACAATGCTCAAAAGGGCTACATTTTGTATTCAATGCACTAAGGCTTTTGATTTTACATTTGTCTTCCCTTTTATCTTAATTTTTTCAGACATATGTTGAGGCCGTTTACTTAAACAATGATGAGGTGTTGAGTCTCCAGACCAATACGCATCATCATATCTTCCAATGGCTGAAACTGCAGGCACACAGGGGAGCAGCTGAAGCAGAGGTACCTGTTTTGGCATCTTGTCTTTTTAAGTTGAACCTATAAACACCAGAACAGAAAGTCGGATAAAAACAAGTGGGATAAAAAATAAAACAAATAATCTTAAGATTCATAAACTTTACATTTATTAAGGGTACGCATTTCAGAGTAAAAGAATGGCTACAGACAATTGAACAAGGAGAGGATTTATTTTATTATAATTCAGCAACTGTTTTTTCAGCAAGCAGTTGCCCGCATGCTGTACTGGGGTCAGCAGGGAGTGACTCCAGATATCCAGACTGCTGCAAGGCACTACGAACGGGGAGCTGTCCAGTGGGAGGACCCTGTGTCGATGTATGACTATGGCATAGTCCTAATGCATGTGAGAACTACAGCTCATATACATAAGAAACATGACAATCCACTGAAAGATAATTTAGTATGAGCCTTTATTGATTAAAACTGTGTCTCTGCAGGGGCATGGAGTTCAAAAGGACATTCCAAAAGCTCTGACTTTCCTGAAGAGAGCAATGGAAAAGGTTTTTTATGATTCATTAATTATCATT